CTGGGTAGAGTGCTGTGGCATCACAGCTCACAGCAATCTCCAATTCCTGGGCTCAAGTGATTCTCCTGCCTCCACCTCCCAAGTACTGGGACTACAGGCGCCCACCACAACACCCAACACCCAGCTATTTTTTGGTTGCAGCCACCATTGTTGTTTGGTGGGCCAGGAGGGAGCCTTAGCTGCTTGAGGCACAGGCGCCGAGCCAGCAGGTCTGTCTTGAAGGATCAAGTACCACCTCCTCTTTCATATCCTAGCCTAGATCCTGATGTGCTGAGGTACTCCCAGAACAGCTGGAGATGGCTCTAGGGATAGGTGTCTACCCTGAATTGCTTCCCATGGGCTCTGAAAGTAGAAGGAAATGTAGACTGGTAGGGGCCAGGGACAAAGGGTTAGAATGGCAAACCCAGTCTCAGGTACAATCAAGTGAAGGGCAGAGGTCATCTGCCTACTCCCATCTAAACATAGGAAATGCCCAGGGTATGGGGAGAAATGCTCAGAGAAGTGTGGGGGCTTCCAAAAGATTCTTTCCTTCTGTCCCTTTTCCCCTGCCCCTCAGCAGTAAGGCAGTCCTCATTAGCTGGTAGATTTGAGGACTTCCCAGTGCAGAAAGTCTGTGAGCTCATGGCTCTGGAATTCAGAAAGGAGTTGTGAACCCACCTCTCAGGTGGCCATGGCACCTTATAAATGGGAAGCTTTGAGTTCTCAGCCAGGACACCCCCAATGCTCCCCCAATGTGCTCAGCAGATCCACCAACTCCATGATTATTATATAAAAATATTACAAGCACATGCCTATTTTCTCTAGAGAAAAAGATCTATACCCTGACAATACCTTTCATAGTCTCAAGGAGGATGGTGACTGCTTTTAAGAACCACTTCACTAGTCTACAAGCTTCTTGAAAGAGGGAATATGTGTTTTTCCTTACTGAATCCCCAATAATGACTACAGGTCTTGTCCCAAAGTTCTATGAACACTAATTGAGTGAAACTTGGATGCAGACTGGGGGGAGGTCAGTGAGGGGTCATTCAGATAGCAAAACTCCCAGGCAGGCAAGGAATGAGAAGAAGATGAGTAGCCCCAGGGTTTGCCTCTGCCCTCTCACTTCCTAGAGAGCAGGGTCCCATAGCCAAAATCCTCAGGTAGCCCAGTGGTCTTTTTTTTTTTTTTTTTTTTTTGAGATAGAGCCTCAAGCTATCCCCCTGGGTAGAGTGCCATGGCATCACAGCTCACAGCAACCTCCAACTCCTGGGCTCAAGCGAGTCTCCTGCCTCAGCCTCCCAAGTAGCTGGGACCACAGGCGCCTGCCACAACGCCTGGCTATTTTTTTTGGTTGCAGCCGTGTTGTTTGGCAGCCCGGGCTGGATTCGAACCTGCCACCTTAGGTGTATGTGGCTGATGCCTTAGCCACTTGAGCCACAGGCACCAAGCCGATCATTGTTGTTTTTGGTGGGCCCAGGCTGGATTCGAACCTGCCACCTTAGGTGTATGTGGCTGGCACCTTAGCTGGTTGAGCCACAGGCACCAAGCCAGCCCAGTGGTCTTCAGCAGGCTGGCTGTTTTACCAGGAGCACAAAGGAGGCCTAGAACTCCTCTCTTGATCTCAGAAGACAGTAGACTTCTGCCCTGGAGATTTAAGCAAGAGAAGCTCTAGTGGCTCCAGAGCACTGGAGAAGGCACCATAAGGAGGGAGGTGCAACATTCATGCAAAGCACCAGGAAGAGAAAGTCACCTGAGAATAACTCTTCTGCCTTCCCCAGACACTAGCCAGACGCTCTCCTAGTGAGGCCTGGGTGTTAATCAGCCTGGGGACAGCTCCTCTAGCCGTCATTCTGGACACCACCAGACCAGCTGCCTTGCCCCACCCACAACTGGCAGAGCAAACCAGGCACCTGGGGGTGAGGCGCTGGGGCTGATAGAGTCAGCTGTGTGCTGGAGACAGCTCACACATTTGTTAAATTGTTCAGTTGTCAGGGATTTTGCAAGCCAATTTGACATCACGTTGGTAGGTTGAAATCTGCTGCTATAGAAATTACAAATGCTGGCTTGGCACCCATAGCACAGTGGTTATGGCAACAGCCACATACACCAAGGCTGACGGGTTCGAACCTGACCCAGGCTTGCTAAACAATGACAACTGCAACAACAAAAAATTAGCCAGGCATTGTGGTGGGCGCCTGTAGTCCTAGCTTCTTGGGAGGCTGAGGCAAGAGAATCTCTTAAGCCCAAGAGTTTGAGGTTGCTGTGAGCTGTAACGCCCTCTAACTCTACTGAGGGCGACATAATGAGACTCTGTCTCAAAAAAAGAAAAAAAAATTACAAATACTACAATGGCCCTTTTCCCCCTTTCTGGACAGCCAACTCCTAACACTTACCAGTTCACATCTGGAAAGAACCCACTTGGACTGAGTCACATTTGACCATGGAGCACACCAGCCACTGCTTGCAAAGGCAGGGTTACAGAAGAGTTTAGGGCATAACCCACCCTCCCTTCCAGCAAGGGCTCTTTCTCTGGTTTCTAGCACCTGGCCTCTTGGGGACACCCCCAGGGTCTCATCAAATAAGTATCGCTCTGGTGCTGCTGATCTAGACTCCTCTCAGTCAGCAAGGCACATGCATGGGGGACAACACCACCCAGAGGTTCTCTGGGCCAGCATCGAGGCTAAGCCATTGCACAGGCCCCTCCCTCCCACCAGTTCCTTTCCATTTGGCTCTGGATGTGCCCCCAAACAGTTTCAGCCCTGTCCTACTTCCTATAAATCTTTCGCTATTTCCAGCTCCCAGGCATCACCAGCTCCCAGCTCCCCAGGGTGGGGCCGCAATTAAGCTTGCCCCACCTGACCTCCACCAAGAGCCCCTCCTGATCCACAGCCCAGAGATGCCAAGCACCAAAACCCAGGACTGACACCTACCTGGCTCGGCCCCCTCAGGTTCATCACACCCTGGGGAAATAGAAACAAGCTGCAGCTCTGCCTGCAGGGGGAAGAGGGGTCACCCACAGCCATGAAGACAGTCAGGCCCCTGGCTCTGCCTTGTGACTTGACCTGATCTATGCCAGGAGGATGTCAGGACAGAGACTCCTTCACATCAGACATTTCCTACATCCCATGCAGGTTCAGAAGTTCAGAACCTTCAGGGTGATTCTCCTGTGCCTTGGTCAGGACCAGGTCAGGTAAGAACTCTCAGCTTTGTTTCTGTAGCAGGTGAGATAGACCAGAGGCAATACCTCCAACCTGGGCCAGGGCAGGCACCAGAAACACAAATGCCTTGGAAATACCTTTGACCTTAGGGGCAACCCTCTCAACTGCACTATCCTTCTCTGAGATCAGCATCCCATGGGTAGATGCCTGGAGGCACATAGCTTCTTCCAGAGCTGCCTCAGCCAGCACTATGATGGGCTCCAGGGACCATGTTTCACTTGGCTCCCCTGTCCTCCTACTGCCACCACGGGCTGCAGTGGTCTCACCACCAAGAACAAACGTACATTAGGGGAAAAAAGAAAAAGTACTACAATTGCGATTGCTTCTTCTAGCAGAGGACCCTAACACAGGAACCAGCACACAAGCATCCCACTGCCTGCCCTGCTCCTGTCTCTTTTGAGTCCTGCCTTATGAATGGGAAGGAGGGAGCTCCCTAAGGCAGAGACTTGGCGGGAACACACCCACTCTCTGTAGGGCACCACCAGTGCCAGCAACTTGAAGCTCCAGGAAGTCACAGGGCCTCTCCGGACCAGCTCCCCCTCCTCCCAGTAACTGGTTGGGTGGGAAAGCTGACTTCAGGGCAAAGGTAAGGGAGGGGAATGGCAGGAGACGAAAGGAAAGGAAAGGCCACTTATTCAGGCCTACTATGTTCTAGCTCTGGATAAGGCCCCAGTTGTAATCCTCTCAGCAACCCCAGGAGGAAATAGCTTTCTGAATTCAAAGCCACTAGGCCACACTGCCTTCTACATACTGTCTACAAATGGAGACAAGAGGGTCATAGATGTGGATGAAGTTGGAGGTGAACATCTTGAATGGCAATCACAGACAAGTCTGTGCTTTTAGAATGATGCATGAGGCTTGGTGCCTGTGGCTCAAGTGTCTAAGGTGCCAGCCACATATACCTAAGGTGGTGGGTTCCACTCCAGCCCGGGCCGCCAAAACAACGATGGCTGCAACCAAAAAAAAATAGCCAGGTGTTGTGGCGGGCGCCTGTGGTCCCAGCTACTTGGGAGGCTGAGGCAGGATACTCGCTTGAGCCCAGGAGTTGGAGGTTGCTGTGAGCTGTGATGCCACAGCATTCTACCCAGAGGGACCACTTGAGGCTCTGTCTCAAAAAAAAAAAAAAAAAGAATGGAACATGAGAGCAGTGCCTGTGGCTCAAGGAGTAGGGCACCGGCCTCATATACCAGGGGTGGAGGGTTCAAGCCTAGCCCTGGCCAAAACTGCAAAAAAAAAAAAAAAAAAAAAAAAAAGAATGGTGCATGCACTCAGGTGCTCTAAGCCCTGCCCCTGTGGTGTGAAGGGCTGACTTCAAACCAGGGGCACAGACTGTGTGAGGAAAAGGGCACAATGCTGGTGTGCTCACCTGCCACCTCCACAATCTGGTGCCGCGCAATGTCGTAGTAAGGGTCATCCCACTTCAGGTGTGTGACAGGTTCCGGGGAGCTGCTTTTGGAGTCATCTGAGGAACATGGCAAGGTCAATCCAGGGGCTTAGTACAGTGCTCTCTCTTCCTGCTGTCTGGCCCTCCCCCCAGTAAGGCTCATGCTCCCAGCCTGACCCTGGAACTGGTCTGCTGCCCTCATCCTGCCCTCCTGGGGTCCCCTTCAGTAGGAAGGGGCCTCTCCCTCTAAGGCCCCTGGGAGCTGGCAATGCCCACCTGACTTGGGGAAGTCGGGCATTTCATCTGAAGGCCAGTTCTTCTCATCAATGGAGGCCAGCTTCAGCTGGTTCAGAGCTTGGCTGGTGTCATCTAAGGTCAGGTCATCTTGCAGCTCTGAGAGTGGATCCATGGCCAAACTTTTCTCCTGCAGCCTTACCCTGCAGAACCTGAGAGAAACCTAGGAAAAGGGAAGGAGGGTGGCAGGTAGGTGACCTCTTCTTTTCACCTTCTGTGACTTCTCTGCACCCCCTTCGCATCCCCACTCTTTCTTCTCCCACACTCCCTGTCCCTGTTCCTCAATACTTCCCATCCCTGCCAAGAGCTCCATGTAGCTCTGGGTTCTCCTGGCTCCACAGTTCAGGCGTAATGCCAGAAGCAGCAGCTGGGGCAGAGGATGGCACAGCTCGGCGCCTCCCTCCAGATCCTCCAGCTGGGGAGGAAAGAGCCATGCCAGGTCCTGTGCTGCCTACTGCCCAACTGGCTCAGTCATGCAGCCCAGATGCAAAGGGCAGAGGTCCTCATCTCTCTTCTCAGTGGTCCTGGGGCACATAAACCTCCCAGGCCCCAGCAGTTACACAAGTAGAAATGTTGCAAGAACCTAAGGAGCACAGGGGTCTTCAAACCTCATTCCTGAAAAAGATCAGCTGTGGTCCTGGCTACTCCATCCTTCACCTCTGACCTGGGAGAGGAGGTGGCCAGAGAGCAGTGTCCTAGAAAAGAGGCCATGGCTCAGGGCTCAGCTGGGTTTGCCCTGGGACTGGAACCAGTGGGATGGATGCTGTCTGCCATGAATGGCAGGCACCTAGGGGCTCACATTCCCCTTACTCTACAGGGAACTTCTGACACTAGTTTTAAGATGGGAAAGGGGATGCTCATGGCATCTGGACAGCACAGCAGCTACAAGCAGCAGGGAGAAGAGACAACTCTGACTCTGAAGCTGAGTTTCACCAGATCTGGCATCTGACCAGGAGGCTGTAGCTGGCATACACCCTGGGGGCAGGAACCTTGTGCCCGCAGCCGTCTCCCAACACAAACTCTGCTGTAGGGGTGAGGGAAGGGAGTTTCAATTCAGACCAGTCCAGAGAAGAGGATGTTCTAAGTCCTTCTGCATTCTTGGAGCCCCAAAATTGACATATATGGTCAGAGAATCAGCAGGGTAGATAAGGAGAGCAGACAGTCCCCGGGGGTGGTAGGAAGAAGGGGGGGGGGACTGCCATGCCAGATCCACAGTCTCTGGGCTCTGAGGCGATGTGACAACCTCCTGCACACATCATATCACAGGGAGGTAACCATCTCCCCGTGCCTAGCAACAACCGCCCTGTCACCAGGGCAACCACACAGAAAACTGTTTCACCACCAGAATGACCCTCCTCACACCTGGGAACAGGGACACTAAAGCCCATTTCTCTCAGTCCTTTCAACCTTCAATTGCTGCAGGCATCTTCAGTCTTGAAGAATCCATCCCTTCTATCTATATGCTCTCCCCTTTCAATGAGGAGGTTGCAAAAGCTGCTCCCTGATAGGGACCACCAACTGGGTAACAAGGACAGAACCCAAACCAGAGCAACCCCCTCCAGGCCAGAGCCTTTTCTCCAGGCCTTCTGTTCCATCACTGCTCAGGCACCAAAGGCTGTATCAGCCACACTCATGGCTATCCCAGAGAGGTCTTTCTGCACACAGTATGTGCCTGATGGCATGGGATGAGGTATGAGAACTAGATTACAGTCCTGAGGAAGCCAATCAAGTTGCAAAGATGCTGGCCAAATCCTTTTCACATCAGAGCCTAAATTTCCTCCTTTGTAGAAGCAAAGGCTCGTCCCAGATATATAATTCTCTAGTGTTCAGAAATACTTGTGTTGAAGTGAACAACAGGGTTAGAAGGAGCAGTTGGGGCTCAGCACCCATTGCACAGCGGTTATGGCGCCAGTCACATACACTGAGGGTGGCGGGTTTGAACCCGGCCGGACCAGCTAAACAACTGCAATAAAAAAATAGCCGGGTGCCTGTAGGGGACTACAGGCTACGTGGGAGGCTGAGGCAAGAGAATTGCTTAAGACCAAGAGTTTGAGGTTGCTGTGAGCTGTGATGCTATGGCACTCCACCGAGGGCAACATAGTGAGACTCTGTCTCAAAAAAAAGGAGCAGTTGGAAGCTGAGGTATGTGTGAGGAGGGAGGACACCAACTAAAATGGAGCTGAAGGCTCCACGCCTGTAGCACAGTGGTTATGGTGCTGGCCACATATACCAAATGTGGCAGGTTTGAACCCAGCTTGGGCCAGCTAAACAACAGTGACAACTGCAACAAAAAAATAGCCAGGCATTGTGGCGGGCGCCTGTAGTCCTGGCTACTTTGGAGGCTGAGGTAAGAGAATCGTTTCAGCCCAAGAGTTTGAGGTTGCTG